GGATTTGCAGAACACTCGAGAAATGTTGAGAAGCACTTTTCCTAACACTTCTCTCGTGTTCTACCTATCCCCGTGTGCTTTATAACTACACACAGCACGCGCGCGCGTTTTTTTTTTCTTCAATATTGGGTAGCAACCTAATGGACTGCAAATAAACTAATATTGTTAGTGTTTTTTTATTGAATAAAATCTTTGTTCGATATAATAAAACACCTATTGGATTCATCGGAGCCCATTGTGGCAGATATTTAGTCTAGAATTCAATATTCTGCCATAATGGCTAGGATGAATCCGTTATATATCCAGTATATGTGATTTGGAGATATCAAGATTTATACTTCCTATGCTTCCAATATGCCGTTAATGAGTGTCATAGTAGGCATAATTAAATATACAAAATTTTTCTGGGGCAGTAAAATATCCTGTATAAAACATCATTGTCTTACTCAGGGCTTATAAAAAGGTTATTGCAAAATTGTTTTCTCATAGTAATAATTTACAAATTACAAACGATAACAAATAAACTCAAATGCCTCCTACGACATCCCATTTATTAGCATATTGGAAGTATAAACCTTGATATCTCCAAGATGCATCACTCAAATCATATAAAAATATTTTACCATTCAACTATTCACTTCATGTAGAATCAATACTGAAAATATTGAGTTAGGGGTAAGAGGCACTTTAAGTAAAGGAATGTAATTTTGCCGAGCTAAAAAAGTAAGGAATTGCCGAAAATAGTAGCTTCATTTAATGAGATGTGTAACTGCATGGCGTCAGTTAAATTAGAGTTCATGGTTATTTTTCATGGAGTTTTTCTGATTCTATTTTCCTGAGTTGAAGTAGCGAGAGTAATTAAAACGAAGTTGAAAGTACGAGAGAGTTTAATTCTTTATTTTACCATATTCTATGCGATAACTTTTTATGTTACAATATATATCATAATTTTTGATTAAATTCAGAGCCAGTAGGCCTGTGTATGAGAGGTACTTTTTACCTAACCTTTTGGCTGCGAAAATTATTGCAGATGATTTCGTATGAAAAAATACTGTTCGTACTTGCCGTCTTATGATCTCATGCCGTGACCGTGACGGCACTGGTAGAACAGTCAAACATGGCACGGATACGATTTTTTTTGTAATTCTTGATGAGGATTTCTTCTTTTCGTTAATGATTGCCCCTACTGATTTTCTGATCACTGTATTAGTAATTAGATACTTAAAAGATGTCATGGATGCACGCAATAATTCATCCGTTTGCCGTCCGTTCTTCCATCGATCCACTCATCCATATTGTAACTTTTCGTTACTACAGCATCCCAGTATCATCTCCAGTAGAAGATAGAGCCACTCGAATTTTGACCTACTTACGTTTATCACGATTACTGTTTTGTAGCCGAATAATTGTAAGATTCTCTCTCATTTTGATATATCTCTAGCAATTCAGTCAAATATCGGTATCCATTAAAATTGTCAAAAATAAAAGACTGAAGATCTTGGAAATCATGGTTTTGTTTAGCTTGAGCATTATCGAGTCTCTATACTCAGTACAATGTATCAAAAAAATCCAAAGCCTCGCTAAACTTTAGCGACAAAACACTTTCAGCATCCTCCGAAGTGACGCTTCTCGTGTCTGTTTTTTTCTGTTTATCTTCTTTACCTAACAACATTTTCTTTAGCTTTTTAAACGGTTCCGTTAAGGCAGACACACAGCTTGTCTTCTGCTGTGAGTCCTTACAGTGTTCTTTATCCTCTTGAATACTCGTAAGACTCTTTGTGATTCCCAAGTCTCCAACCTTAAACGGAGCTGGAATTGGCGGGAAAATCTTTCGAGGAATCGAGATGGTGGGTTCTGTCATTTCTACATGACAACGAATGGTGACAACGAATGGTGACAACGAATTAGTTCGGCTTGTAGATAAGATGGATAATTCTGTAGGCTTCACTTTCGATAAAAACAACTTTTAGGCCTAAAAATAACCAAAGAAATGATTAAACTTTAGCCAAAACTTATAGCAAATAATAAAAATGAATAAAATTTTACCAAACACATTGATGTTCAGTGAAATACTGCGACTTTCTTTTTGTTTTGAATAATTCATGATCTGATGGCAACTCATTGTTTCAGCTGTTATTACGTTCAAACGAGAACTTTAACGAAAAAAATGCTTTTTCTATGCCACAAAAACATTAAGACGAAGAACTACGAGAGTATAAGGCAATTTAAACTTAATTTCTAAAACTTTTTGCTAGCAATTTGCGCCGTTCGTCTTGCAGTTCGGTTTTTCTCAGCCGAGTAACTGATGCTCTTTGTTAAAGTTTATATAAAACATTTCAAACGCTCAAAACTTGTCTACTTACCAGCCAGAGAAGTCACAAGTTAAGAATTCAGTAAACTACAACGTATCTCGGACCAAGTGATGTTTTCAGGAGGAATCATTAGTTGTGTAAAGTCCATCTTTTAATATTGACTAATGCATGCTAACTGAGAAGGAAGTCTTTCATTAGTGAGTCGGTCGGTCGTATATCAATAATGTTCTAGAATCTTCACGTTAAAAATACATATGCATCAGCATATGTAACAATTAGCGTTGTCAATCAAGATTTTAAATCCCTGATGGGCTAGCTTGGTGCTAAGTATTGCTATTACACGGTAATCC